TTATTGTATAGCAGGAAATTTTGGAGGGAATTAAAATTGGCCAATTTGGCATTTTTATAGCCGTTTGCTAAAATAAAAATCTGCCATTTAAAGCTATTATGTGCATGCTCAATGGCATAAGGCCACAAATTTGCCAAATTAAAATTCCCCAATCACTAAAATTTAGAAATTTAATCTCAAAAATTTCCTGCTATATATACAGTATGATAGTTGTTGATTGTCCAATGACTGTATAGATTGGGACTATAGATGTTGAAGGCACAGATGAAGAGGATATAGAGAAAGGGAGGAAAGGAGAAGGATTGATAGCCAGTAGTTTGTTACCAGTCACTGGTGGTGGTATGGACATATTGAGTCATGATTTACAATATTCATCATCATCAAGCAGTGAAGGAGAGGGGGAAGAGGAGGATATTACTGATATGGAAGAAGTGTAACTTTTGTTTATGTGTAGGTATCATACTCCATTCATTTTTAACTTAATGCACAAAAAATGATTAAAATAATTTGCTTGCATGTACTATAATCCTACAAAATGTATAGTAATACTGATTAATATACAATCAGTTGCCTTGTGATGATGTGTTACTGGTCAGGCAGCTGCAGGGCCATCAGACTCCTGTGAGGACCCTGTTAAATCATTGTCAATGGAGAACAGACATACATGTACATGTATAGTGGGCAATATTCTCACCAGAGGACAATGGTTCACACTCTGAATCTCTTCTGACTGTCATGAACTCAATATTATTCCTCGGTCTGCCTCTGTTGAATTTATGCTTCAAGACAAAACACTTATAGCCCTTCTATTGTGACTAGAAAATCAAGATTTAGCTTGCTGCATAAACTTGATCTAAAACTAATCACTAGATTATTAACATGTGCATGACATGTAGTTGAGTTACTTCAGTGCATAGCATAGTCATTGCCAGTTTGCCACTGTTGTGTAAATTCTAATCTTTATTTAATAAGATAATTAGTGAACTGGAGTGGAGCCATTACAAAAATTACACAAGATTCAAATGCACTTCAAAAAACAGGAAAATTATTTTAAAAGTACCATTAATTTAAAATATGAAAATTAAAAAATGATACAATACTTTAAAATTAAATTAATCCAACCAATGTCAATGTTGAGATTCGTATTCCCTAATTTTCTTCAACCTACAATAACAAATGAAATGAACTATCATAATGACATGAAGACCATCTTATTTCTAAAGCTCATTATGAAAGAATTTTCTATAATACTAATGCATTTATTTTGGACCATTAATTGATAGTACCTTGCTTCCTCTGCCTCTTGTATTTCTGATCTCTCTTTATCTGTTAACTCTTTCATTGTCTCTCTATTGTCTCTAAACAATTATAAACAGTAAGAGGTGTATGTACATGTACATGTGAGTGTGCATGTACATAATGTGTGTATGGTGTATGACTGTATATATACTTGTAATATATGACACATCCATCATATAGTCCTAATGAGTATCTTTCTGAAGTAATGGAACACCATTTCAACTCAATATCAAGATATGGCATCTCAACTGGAAATGATCCATACTAAGAGTTAAAGAGAGGGAGCATCTTTATTATTATGTTTTGTATCAATGATTAACCTTTGCAAAATAGATATACTCAGTAGGTACTCCACTTAACTCTGACAACTGTAAAAAAAATAATAATATTGATAATAATGATATACATAGTTACATACCTATTTATTCACAGTCTTACTCTACATTAATGTTAATATAAACCTATAGACTAGTAATGGTGATTGGCAGTTTTACCATATCAATTCTGCCATTTGACATGTGGCATGAAATTGAAAATTTGCCAACTACTACTTATTACAGACAAATACAGTAAATACAGTTTTAATCTTAGAGCATTATAACTACTTGTTTGAACAAGTACTATCTCATGCAGTGCAATGATAAAATCATGATTACCTTTTCAATAGCATGCTTAGGATCATACATGTATATATATTCCAGTATAATTTCTTCTATTGGATCAACTGAACATTGTGATGGACGCCATTTTATAACATACACCTGTATCTGTCTATGATGCTTCATCTTCTCTGGTCCTAATGAAAATTAATACAATAACCTTACTAAAATCAAGTGAAGCACAGTATACTAAAAATATCATATAGCAACATTTATTCGCGAGGGACTAAATTTGGTGAGTTGCAAATTTCAGGAAACAAAAAATTAAAATTGCCAATTATTAGCTGCCATGTGGTAAGAGATAATGAAGTCACCAAAATTTAATCTACAAGTCATCAATTTCATTAATTTCACCAAAATAAATCCTGCTATACTGTTATACAGTTTAAAATTAAAATAATGAGATTATGACCTTTCAATGGTTCCACATAATATGTTTCCATACTAGCATCAATCACCTGATGATCAAGATATACTGTACAAGGGTACACTCCTATCTTGTAACGTAATCTCATTCTACACAATGAGTCACATGATAGTCACATGATGTACTTACTTGTCTAATTCAAGGACAAAGTCTATTCCTTGTACTTTTGCTTCTTCAATAATTTGTTTCTTAAATTCTCTCACTGGTGTACCCACAGCAACAATAGACTCCATCATATACTTACAAAACTAAAACATAAAAATATAATATAAAATTTATAATAATTAATAATCTTACATTTATATTGTTAACTTGTAATAAATACAATTTAATTCGGACTATACCCAATCTTACTATCAACTAGAAGATAACAAAGTATTTTAGTTCATACAATGTATAATAGAAAGAAGAAGTGAATCAAAATACTTTTGATCCAGATATAATATGCATTAATGTCTCATCCAGTCCCTCCATTTCATATTCTCCATTATTTCTGATTTCATACACTCTTAAACCAGTAGATGGTACACCAATCAGTGGAGCTAGCTCGTCCTTCAATTGAGCTAATGTTATTCTCTTATCAACTTGTACTTGTATCTCTGTATTGAATAACATAATATTTAATGTTCTTTATAATAATTAAGGTCTTTCTACACTAGCACTTCTAGTGCACATTAAACCAGTTTGAAACTGGTTCTAATCATTCTACATCTGATGCAAATTGGCTTCAATGAGCAATGTATGTGTATCAAATCAAACAACCTCCATATATGGTTTGAATGTGCATTCAATAGATAACTAATGACAGCTGGATCAGAAATACTATCACTTGATGCACATTGAAGCTAAACCAGTTTCAAACCGCATTGCAAGTGTAGAAAGGCCTTGCTTTATTTCAATATTACTTCTTTTATCTTCTTCATTTATTGATACAACTTTCACTATTAATCTTCCTTCAGGTACATCAGTTGTAGTGCGAGTGGCTTCAGGTTGAGGAGGAGGTAGTGTAATGTTCAGCAATATTGAGTTGAAGTGAAAATCAACATATCTGTACATCAAACTATTTTTGTATTCCTTTAGAAAATCTATAGGATCTGATGATATATATATCTAAGAAAGTAGAGAACATATGTTGTGTGTGTGCATGTGTAAACAAAAACAGTAAGGAGGAGAAAAATATTAAAATACTGTATAGCATGTTCCTTTTATTTGGCCAAACTAATTAACCTGACAAAAGAAACTCATAAGGAGAATGTATAGTATAAAAGCATATACATGTACATCATTATGGTTGCGTTGAATTTATCAATGATCCTTTTCATAAATCAGGCATGCATGATTAATTGTCCTGATTTGTTCCAATATATTGCATGATTGATAGTTTACTGTTGCAGTTACCAGTTGACATACAAAGTGTGTAAGTAAATGCACAGAAATCATAATTAGCACTCGAAGAATCTAAAACATTCTGAGGCTTCACTCCCGACCACGCCCCAACATACATACATACAAGATGATTTACTGGCAAGAGTAATATTTGGCAAATTTGGCTGTGGAAAAAAATTGGTGATTTTATATTAGCAATTTTGTGCCATGTGCCATTGAGCATGCTCAGTTTGAAACAAAATGACGGATTTTATATTGGCGATTTCTTCATAAAACCACCAATCACCAATATTAATTCCTTGCCAATAAATCATCTTGTATGGTATACAGACAACAGTACTTCATGAGTAAGGACTTTGCCCAATCAGCACTTACTGTTGGTACTACAAGTTGCTCTCTGTGTAGTTTGTGTAAACTGAATACATCTCCTTTAAAGAGCACTTCTTTTAAAGAACTTTTAACATCTTCTAAATGTACGACTAAGTGAGCTTCATCAAGTACTAGTAATCTCATACATAATGAATTGAGATTAAATAACTATGAAGGTAAATGATCACTATATAAATGACAGTATATCCTTCCTCTTACTTCTCCTATATATTGTTTTAATTCTCCAACAGTCCAACCTTCTTCACCTCTTATTGGTATAGCTAGTCCTATTTCACCAGTTGACAGATCAACCACTGATATCTCTAGGTTAATACCTACACCATCAAACACATGTACATGTAATTAAAGGAATTGTCATTAGAGGTGAGTGATACAATGCCAAAGTACTCATTTATCTAATACCAGGCCTCCAATACCAAGTACTTGATACCTATCCTGGTATATACATGTACGTATTGAGCTAGTGACCACACCCAAAAGCCACACTTTTTTATAATTACAAAATGATGGCTCATTTGCTTGATTTTTGTTAATAACTAATTATAACATATTTTGTATGTGCAGTAGCTTCAGTACTCAATACCCTAGATGCTGATACTCATACTACTTGGTATCAGTATCAATCAAAAAATTCTGGTATCGCCACCTCTAATTGTCATGGTAATCATACAAGAACGCCTACCTCCAGTATTGTATTTCTTAAAGGTCTCAATATCTTTACAAGTTTCTAGGAATAATCCACAATATCCAACCACACCCATAAGCTGCCCAATAGTTTGATCCTGAAACTGAATATAATAATAAATATGACAATTATAGGATAGATATGAACCTTATCAAGATCAAAGGACTGTTCAGTTACATCCTTAATGAAATTATATTTAACTAAACGGCATCTTTCAATAGAAATATGAGGAGCTAATTCCATTAACTGATAAAGAAATGAAGAAAAAAGAAATGAAAGTACATCTATAAAACAAAGCAACTAAAATAACAAACCTCATAAGCTTTATCCAGTACTGTGGGTAGTAATTCATCTTTATGTACTTGAAATAATTTACTAGTTAATTCACCAGTAACAGGATGATTACAATATAATAAGAACTATAAATTAAAAGTAATCAGTGAGTCTACTCCCGACCCTATCTCAGTCTCACTCACTGTACACATTTGATCCTCTTCCTCACTTAGACTATCATATTCAATCTCTTCAACTTCAGACTCATCATCTTCAACTTCAGAATTGTCATCTTCAAACTCTAATTAATATCGACAATAAAATGGCAGTACACACATCACTACTATGTAAACCTTCGTTATCTTTCATGATCTGCTTATTGTGCTTCCTTGTAGTAATTAGCTCCATATTCGTTAATGTTATTCTTTCTTGTAATTTCTCTATTATTCTTTTATTATCTACTAATGGCTGATAGTCTGGTCTTTTCATTGCTTCAAGGCAGCATTTGCAGTCATCAATTTCAAGAGACATTCCTCTTCTCACTTTGCTAGCAGCTTTAATTAATTATATAATTATTAGTATAATTAATAAAACTACTCTAACCTGAATCAGTATTACTAGAAAGTGATCTCAAATAATCAACCTTCATTTCTGATAATTTTTCGGACATCTCTTTGTTTTCTTCTTTTATCTTGTTAAACTGAGAGCTCAATACAGTCAATTCTTTATCAAGTGGTTCTTCCTATTAATAATTATTAAAATTAATACAAAAGAGTGAGATATATCTATACTTCAATTAATTCAGTATCACTTTGAACATAAGCTGACAATGATTTTTCCTATAATAAATTATATTTTTGTGAAATATGGTAACTGATAATTAACACACTCTACCAGGAGTCATGCTTAATTATGCAAAAAATAAGGCTCTAACCTCAGATACTTGAGCCATTGATAATTCTTGTTTCAATTCAATTGTATCCTATACATTACATACAAGATTGCACTGCACAGTCTGGTATAATATGACACACCTTCTCTTTGTTACTAATAGCATCTCTTAGTCTATATTCAGCTTCTTTAAGTATAATATAAGAAATAACCTGTACATACATGTACATGTACCATCAATTTACACATTACATCATACAAATTGTAACATGATTACAATTCAAGATTAACTGACTTTAGTATGTTGCAGTGAGTCTTGATCCTTCTCTTTTAGTTCCTATACAAAACAATATTCATAAAACAATATTCAACTATTTGTATTATGTACTTTTCTTCTAACATCTTGTCTCCTCCATAATGTTAAGTTACCAATAGTCAGTTTCTTTAATCCTTGCTCCATTAGTATATGAATATTCTCTATCATCCTCAATACAGTAAATCCAACATCAGAGAAAGGAAAGGAGCAAGTGACACATATTGAATTGCTAGGCTCTATAAACTGAATCTTCAATAGTTTACCGGACACTTTTGCAAGAATTTCCTTGATGTCTTCCAACATATGCTCCTTAGGTTTCCAGTCAAAGATAAAGGTAACTGTCTGACATTGAATATGATGAATAGAATCAAATCGTTCGTTCAAGCAAAGACTGATAGAAAGTGACTTGCAAGCTTCACTCAACTTTTTTCTATATGTCTCAATGTGTTCCTTTGCTTCAGTGATGTTCATTTCTTCTACTATACTGTGAAGCAGTTCAATATCAGTCAATGAACACTCATCTTTAACATGACGAAGAATACTAGAAATATCTGAACATTTGTTGACTTTCTTGCTAAGTGTGCCACTGTAATAAAACAGGAATTTCTTGATGTCAGCAACTTCCAATTTCAGTTCCAAAATCTTACAAACATTATAAAACATTCTCACATAAGACATCCTTATGCAACTAAAATTAGCAAGCAAGTTTTTTGGAACAGGTATAATATGTACTTCAGCTAAAAAATACATTCATCATTATCATTATTATTAATTCATACCTTGAGGTGATAAAGGTTGAGAAGAAGAATTAATAGAAACTTCTGCATTAGAAGGAGACATATCTAAAAATGGTATAATAAATAATGAACATACACTGTATTTTTGTTAATATGATATTTATCTAAACATTAAGTTCATGCCAAGTTACCATATGCAGATTGTGAATTAGTTGGTATCTTGGTTTCATCAGTACTTGCATTATCTATGAATATTAATAAATGCATTATCACATATTAAAAATTATTGAATACCTTGCGTAACTACATCAAGATCCTTAATAGTCTCAGGAACCACATCCACTTCAGCAGTATGAAAATACTTACCTAATAATAAACAAACAGTTGTCAGTACCAATAACAACACAAGATATTGTAAGAATACAATGCCTGGTCATAATACTCACTAATATCATCCAGTATAGCTTGTCCCAGTGATACATTAGTACTGATTGTACACAATACATTAGCAAATGTATGTAAACTGTTGGGATTAGTTGACAGCTTCTTGGGATCC